CACAGTTGGCAGTCATGAAAACTGAGTATAAGAAGTTTGGAAAGATGATCAGCCATCTTGAAGGTGTAACTTCATCATCTAACCCTTCTGAAAATTCAGCCACCACCGCATTTGCTCACTCAGGTATAAGAGCTTCTGCTAACCATGCATCCACCTCAGGTAATCCTAAGACCCCTTGGATCATAGACTCAGGTGCTTCTGATCACATGACCAACATTTCCACTCTGTTTGGTTCTCTTGCCTCTATTTGTAGCAAGGGAACTGTCAAGGCTACAGACTCCTTACTCTTATCTTCCACTCTTCATGTACCTAAATTAAATACCAATTTATTATCTGTAAGTAGCTTGACCAAGTCATTGAATTGTTGTGTAACATTTCTCCCTTCTCACTGTGTCTTTCAGGACCTAGAGTCTCGGAAGGTGATTGGGAGTGACCATGAAGCGAATGGAATATACTTGCTCGATACTCTTGGCCAATGCTTTGATCATCCCAAGAATGTTGCCTTTGGTTCTACTTCTTCAGAATCTGTCAGTCGAATTATGTTGAGTCATTGTCGGTTGGGTCATTTACCTTTTTCTGCTTTAAGTCATTTACTTCCCAAATTGTTTAAAGGAGTCAATGTGTCCAGTCTCAATTGTGAGTCATGTCAGTTGTCAAAGCATTGTAGAAACAATTACCCTGTGAGCAATAAAAGATCTTCTTTCCCTTTTCATATTGTGCACTTTGATGTGTGGGGGCCTTACCACTTATCTTCTATGGGGGACTACAGATATTTCAACATGTTTATTGATGATTTTTATAGATTCACTTGGATATACCTAATGAAATCCYATGATGAAGTCCCAAGACTTGTGAGGCAATTTCATGAGCTTGTTTTAACTCAATTTGATACCAGAATTAAGGTTTTCAGATCTGACAATGCAAAAGAGTATTTTGAGAAGAGTTTATCCTTGTAACTCTCTGTCATGGGGGTTATTTATCAAAGCTCCTGTGTTAGAACCCCTGAACAAAATGGAATTGCTGAAAGGAAAAATAGACATATTGTTGAAGTTGCAAGGAGCCTTTTGTTTGCCTCACATGTTCCCACAAGATTTTGGGGTGATGCTGTTCTTACTACTACATATCT